GGGGGGGGGGGCAGTGAAGGATGCTGGGTCTCCAGCTCTACATACAATGTGTAGATCCGTCGGCATTTACAGAGCTGCCTTCAGCCGTAGGATTCCTGAGGTGAAGGGGAGATTTGCTCAAGTAACGCCTTATTGTGTTAAACATTCGGAACAAAGACCTACCATTTCAGAGTCAGTAGATTATTTAATCAAAAGGGGAAATATTAGGAAGGAAAGGACAGGACATCCCTTATCATTTTACTATGCTATGTTCATAAAAAACTCTTAATATTTCTGCCAAATGTAAACGTTCTCTGGAAGCTGACGGTTTTAAAGATAAAAGGCCCTGTTACGTATGTTTGTTTGAGTTCCCTGAGATGACAGTGGACTCTGGGTTCACATCTCTTTGGGTAACTTTGTTCTTTTATTTGGAAATAGGCTGAAAGGAAAGGTGACATTTTCACTTTGCTTTTACTTAATCTCTGAACTTGCGAGCAGAAACTGAATCAATTGCTTGAACGCAGTCGTTTATGTACGTAAAGATCTTTTTCTCAAGATAATTCCACGTTGAATTATTGCTCAGAGTTTGTGAGAGGGCTTTTAATATTTATGGTTTTCGAATAGGCTAGATTTTACTGGTTGACTTCTTAAATACCATTTAGATGTAACATTTAAGAAATGATGCTTTTTTTACATGGTAAACAAGTGAATCGTTTTTTCAATGGCTAGCAGATGTCTGTCTCCTTTAGAGAAGGTCCCCGTTCTTGTCATAGGGAAAATGGAGAATTATTAAATAATTTGTAATGACGAGTAATATTTTCCTCTTTCATTCACTCATCCTCCTTCTGAGCAGAGATGCTGAGAGCGGTGTTGCCAGCCTTCCAGCCTGCTACCTGGTGTCATTCTTGGACAACTCTTGAATTTCAGATTCCGCAAAAGTCATTTATGGTCAAATCATACTCTGCCAAATCTCAAAAGTGAAAGGGAATATATGTAGGGAAGGAGAGGGTTGGTTTGTTTATAAGGTCTGACAATTAACTTTGTGAACTGATCCCAGAAACGGTGCCACGTACCTCATTGCCAAAGTACACTGTGGTCACCATCGAGGTCCTCCCCTTGGGAAGCTGTGCACTGATGCCAGCACCTGGTGCTGTGCACTGATGCCTGCCCTTCAGAGCAATTTTGGAACTCTTTTTCTGGAATGGTCATCAGTATCGTCATTATACAAGGTCTGACAATTAAATTTATAAACTTGTCCTAGAAAAAGTGCTACACACCTAGGGTGACCAGATTTTAACATCGGTCAGGCGGAACAACATGGCCAGGGGGTGGGGTGGGGGCAAGACTGGGACGGGTCAGGGCAGGGCCTGACAACAATGCAAACTTTGATAAGCAGTTCTTGGTAATCACTTCTGAGCAATTATTTGTTATTATTACAGTTTAACATTATAAAATTAACAAAAATAATATAAAACTCATATTCTGGTGAAATAGCCACATGGCAGCCGAAGACTGTATATTCCCTTCCTATTCTCCTGCCCATTCGTGCATTCTTTCCAAAAATCCAGACTTTTTTAAAACGCCGTGGGACGCGGGACAAATTGTTGAAAAGTGGGACTGTCCTGCCAAAAGCAGGACATCTGGTCACCCTATACACACCTCATTGCTGAGTACCCTCATGGTCACCAGATTGGTCAAATGGAGCGCTTCAAAGGGGACCATAATGATCTTGAGCAAAGAGGTGTGTGGCACTGTTTTAGTATAAGTTCTTGAACTTAATTGTCTGACCTTGTAAAGTAGCATGCCAAGGAATTCAGTGCTACATTTCATCATTTCCTTCTTTCTCAAGAAATACTTAAATGACTGTTACCTGTCTACTAGTCCATATTTTCCTACTTTATCTAAGGAGAAGATTATCAGGAATAGTAGAACATTTTCTTATAAAAATCACATCAGTGATTTTTTTTGAGTTTTGGCAGAAAACTGAAGCATGTTTATGGAGAGAAATCCTTCTTATATTAAATTTTTTGGGGGGTGTCAGTAGTGAGAGGATGATGAGAAATGATTTAATGAATACAATATGTGTTACTTGGGTGATGGTTACCCTAAATGCCCTGAGTTCACTGACTGTGTAATCTATGAATATAACAAAACTACACTTTTACCCCATAAATAGTCACACATTTTTAAAAGTAACAAATGCAAAAGGAACCCAATTTTTCTGCAAAATTCCATACAGTCCCAATAAACCCAATGAACATGGAACTAAATACAAAAATCTTAAATTCCGTTTAACTCTGCCCCTGTTCCTCTGTCAGCCGGCAGCTTGCTCCAGACGCTAAAACGGCGGGAGAGTTCGTTTCACAACTCTCAGCACTCATTTTCACGTTACCCAGTCGGTCAGAGCTTTTATTAAATGCAGCCTGATGCAATCAAAACACACACGGTGAAAATCCAGCACTGCAGAATTGTAAAGGCGACGTATCACCTGTTATATCAAACGTGACAGTAAGTTCCACAGCAGAGTCTTACACAGCGAGTTATAATGAGAGAATGTCTATCTGGACGGGGTTTCAGCCACGGTGGATCACAGCAGCATCTCAGAGCAGCCGCTAATGATGACAGTTTACAGTAGGCAGGAGCTTTCCCACAAAAATATGATGGGTTGAGTCACTGCTTTCCTTCTGATGTCAAATGACAACTTTTTAGATCCTGACAACTTTGCTATTTTCTTTGGTGCAAATGGGAGGAGAGAGTGAGCTAGCTTCTTGCCCAGCGAGCTGAAAGGCAGAAATGTTTTCTGTCATGAATAAATTAGCTTACAAGAGGAGAGACCCACATTGAAGGCCTTCAGTTCTCTTGGTTGATTGTTGGGAGCTGAATTACAAAATCATCAAGACGTTTTCGGAAGAGCAGATATGAGGCGCATACACTACCCCTGCACACCCAGGGCTCCTGGAGGATTCCTCTCCTACTCTGAAGAGCAGAGGCCTGTTTACTTGAGAGGACAAAGGTGTCTGAAAAGATTCTGACCTGTAAATATGATAAAAACTTACATTTTCCAACACATGTGGGATATACCATCTTCCCGGCAGTGCTGTTATTGAATGCAACTAAAGCGGTCAGCAAGAACCAGCCACCCGAAATTGGATCCCCAAGCTCCTTTTCAAGGGCATGGACAGGGGAGATTTCTACCTCTGAGCAGTTGTGCAAGTCTGTAGGCTTGGGAGCGTGATCTCACCTACGCAAGCCTGGTTTTTAGGTCTCACTACACAGAAAGTCGAGCTTGGCGCCTCAGAGAGAGGGAGGAGGAAGGGAGTGCCCAGGGGCTGGAATATGAAAGACCACAGGATAAATATACAGTACATTTTTTCCCAAGTTAGAATTTAATTATTTTGCTTTTGATAGTCTCAAACAACAATTTATTCATGGAAGAGCATTTTCCCAGTGTTTTAGAAAGACATAAAGGAAGACCAAGTTGAAGTTTCTCATTTCAGTATGTTTGTGGGACATGGTCTGTGGACGACTGAAAAGTTCGTGGCAATTTGGTGCCTGTGAGAGCTTTACAGCTGTGTTGAGAGGTGATTGAAGCTTGTGACCCAGTGCCGTGTTTTCAGCCAGACGTTATACACATCGTATCACCAGCAATACTGGGATAATGGCTTTAGTACCCTTTCTTCAAACAGAAACCCACCCAGTCTGCTTTCCAGCACTCTGGTTGATGGTCTTACATGGGCAGCTTCATTGTATGTGTTTCTTCTTGACACAGGAGACTTTTTTCTCAAAAGTGATGAGTAACAAATGACAATATCCAGATTCCAGAAGCAGGGTAGGGAGGAGGAGGGAGAGGCCCTAATTTTTATTACTTTTCATTCAGTAGTTGTGGTCAAGGAAAGCTGCATGGCCTTTCCTATCTGCTGTTACCAGGCCATGGGGAAGACATGACATTAATTAATTAATATCTAAGTATTGTGGCAGGAGAGTAGCCAGTGTCAGTTGTAGTTGTAGGATTCAGGTACCATGAAATTGACTCATTGTGGATAAGTATAAATGCTGCTTGAATTTCCAGGTCTTGCTTTTCTGGTTTATTGAAAGACGTTCTCAGGAAAAACTTCCCTGCCTTCAGTTCAGCCTGGTCTTCCCCCCAACAGCCGAGAAAGGCACTCAAAGATGCCCTCAGAGAGTCGCTGGGAAAGTGAGCGAGAGAGGGAAGGTGGGCGGCGTGTGGCAGGAGAAGCCGTGAGGTGCTGGCAGACTGTCCGGGTCCCCTCATTCCCCACCTCTCCTCCTGAGCTGGGCAGCTGTGTGTGTCAGGACAGAGCAGGGAGCAGCAGGCTGGATGGTCTGAGCAGAAACATTGATCTTCTCACGGCTCTGGAAGCCGCAAATCCAGGACAAAGGCGCAGGGTTGGCTGCCTCTTCTGAGGCCCCTCTCTGACTTTTAGGTGGCTGCCACACAGCCCCTTCTCTGCACACACTGCATCATCCCACCCTGGAAGGCGTTGGTCCTGTTGAATCAGAGCCCCACCTGTACGGCCTCATCAACCTTCACTCCCTCTGGAAAGGCCCCACTGTCAGTTACATCCCCGGGGGCTGGGGCCTGCTGTCTGCGTCTGGGAGGCGCCCCAGTCACTCTATATTGAGAGTGAAGGTCCCTCCTGAGAGTGTCCTCAGTTGGGTTCCCTTGGGCTTTGGGGATTTTTTTTTTTTTTAGACGGAGCCTCAAGCTATCCCCCTGGGTAGAGTGCTATGGCATCACAGCTCACAGCAACCTCCAACTCCTGGGCTCAAGCGAGTCTCCTGCCTCAGCCTCCCAAGTAGCTGGGACCACAGGCACCCGCCACCTTAGGTGTATGTGGCTGGCGCCTTAGCCACTTGAGCCACAGGCGCCGAGCCGGGCTTTGGGGATTTTAACTGGAAAGATGCATTTTATGTTCCTAATATACAGAGACCTCAGTCTCACCAGAAGTAAAGGTCCGCAGGAAGGACTACCATCCCCATGTCTGCACTGCTTCTCTGGGGTCCGACTCCACCCACTGCCCTTCACCCAGTCACACTGCGAGTCTGTGGGGACTCGCTGCAGGTGCCGATTCAGAAAGGAGTCTGCCTGTCACTTTGTGGAGAGGAAACCACAACCTTGGTGGCAGGAGAGAGCAGGTGGTTTGTCTGAAGTTTAGTTCATGGTAAAATCTTTCACTTCCCAGTCTAAAGGGGCAAGGAGTGGTAAGTGGGTAGAAATCCCGGCACTTTCCCTTCCTCTCTCGCTTGCCCACCTGAGGCCGTTCTAACTGAGTGTGTCATCATGGTCGCAAGTCCTCACCCAGTCTTCAGGTCCCGGTGGCTGCTGTGCACTTTCTGTGGGTCTTGGGTTTTTTTGGTTTTTTTTACCCTTATAGAAATCTATTGTGTTTCTCTCCTTATAAATGTGACCTTCCTTACCTATCACATTCTGCATAGATGCCATTTATCAATAATGGAAATTGTCCTAATTTCAACAACATGACGTGAAGTCTTGACAAAGGCAGAGTTTCAGTATTCTGAATTTGCACGGAGTTCAAGGCAGAATCATATTCCCATGTGCAGTCATCGGTTTCAAAAATGAAATGTCACAGCAGCAAGAAAATATCCATTATATGTCATTGACTTTGAGACCCCTGCCCATTAGGTGTGGCCTGGACACTGCTGATCTTTGGTGTGAAATTATATGAAGCACAGTGAGGAAGTGCTAAACGGACGTCTCTATTGCTATGGATTCTGGGTTGTAGCATATTTTGTGCATGCCAGCATTTCTTAAAAATGTTTTTGTGAGAGCATAAGAAAGTATGAACACAAGGAAAATGGAAACCGCCCTGGATACGCCTCATTGTCAGAAAGCCAAGGGGCTGTATGTGGAGTATGCCGGGCAGGATGAGCCTGGGGGACAGTCTGGTCCTCCCGCTCACTGCTGTGCCCTTTCTGTTTTCTAGGTACCGAGGCAAGACGTACAGGGCTGTGGTTAAGATCGTGCGAACGTCTGACCAAGTAGCCAATTTCTGCCGCCGGGTCTGTGCCAAGCTGGAATGCTGCCCGAATCTGTTCAGCCCTGCTCTCATCTCTGACAACTGCCCAGAGAACTGCTCTGTCCACACCAAAACCAAGTACAGTGAGTAAAGTCAGGAGCTGGGGCCCTGAGTGCCGTGGGTTTGGTTTTTGTTTCATTTTCTTCTCTGGAACCCTTTCTATAGGAATTGCTACGGAAGGATCTTGTTAAGAATTTGCTGTAGTAGGTACTTGTGTGTTTGTAGTCTAGTGTAGGGAAGGGACAGGCTGAGTACGAGCAGGAAGCATCACTCCTGGTGGGCCTGGGAAGATAAGCCCGTGTGTATTGCCCTGGATGTTGGGGGTTCATGGCCTGGGCAAGAATGAACTGCCCTGAATGTTTGGGGGGTTCATGAACTGGGAAGATGAGCCTGTGTGTATTGGGGGTTCATGGACC